AGGGTTCGAGTTGTTAAGTAGGGCAAGATGTGCCGTTGAAGTTTCGCTAGCTGCACGCCAAGTGGTTGCTCAAGCATCAAAAGCAGAAAGCCTTTCTCTTGCTTATCGCCCCTACTTTGCTTAAGCGAAGCAGCATCGCTCAAGTGAAAGCGTTACCTGGAGAACCCTATTTCCTTTTCTTTTTTTTTTTTTTTTTTTGAGATTTTTACCCATATGACCAAAAACATCCCATATAAATTGTTATGTGTTGTTTTTTCAGATTTTTCTTAAGGATTGAACTTGTAGAAAAACTTACTACTCTTTGATTCATTCATTCGATCCTACATTCTTTGAGCGCAATCACATAAAAACATCAAAATCACTTTCTTCGAACACCATAACACATTTGTTGAATCTTGAAGATCAAAGAAGGAGATCAAGGTTTTGATCATTAGAGAACGGGGAGTTCTCTTGAATCAACATGAGATAGAAGAAATCAAGAGCTAGGAATTGGTGTAGCAAGCAATCCAGGAGGGCTAGGAGCCGAGAGTTGGTGTAGGATCATGCGTTCCAAGAAAGCTTTGAGAAATACTACAATCAGGAGGTCGAAAAAACTATTGTGGGTTGAGTCTGATGAATTGTAAGTGATTTCTTCATTTATAGTGGATTTATACTGGCTTGGGCCCCGAGTTTTACCCACATTGGGGTTTCTCCATCATAAAATAAGCGTGTACTTTACATTTCTTTCAATTTACTTGTTTTCGATATTTCAACATATGATAGTAAAGCATGTGAATTGATCTGGACAAATTAGTATTTGTAACTTGTTGCTTTTATTAATTAATTGGTAAAAATTTCACATAAACACCTATTCACCCCTTCTAAGTGTTGATTGGGTCAAACAACATTATTTCAAATGGTATCAGAGCCTACCTTCGAGTCGTGACCTACTGTTGTCCAAATGAGTCAATCACTTTTTGTGCCTTCGAATTTTGACGGAAGCAACTATGCATACTGGAAGGTTAGGATGCGTGCATTTCTTAAGTCCCTAGATAAATATGTTTGGGTGAGTGTTTAAAATGGTTGGAAATCTCCTTCCGCATTTGTGTCAGGTGTTGTCAATCTAGCTGATATTTTACTTTAGGCTAATGAAGAATTAGTTGATTGGAACTGGAATAGCAAAGGACTTCATGCTTTGTTTATGGCTCTGTCTCCCGAAGAGTTCAGGAGGGTGTCAATGTGCGAAACTGCTAAAGAGGTTTGGCACATTCTAGAGACTATTCATGAGGAAACTAAAGTCGTAAAAATTTAAAACTACATATGTTAGCCTCTAGGTTTGAAGAAATTAGGATTAAAGATGATGAATTGTTGGATGAGTTTTACGCAAAATTGAATGACATTGTAAACTATAGCTCAAACCTAGGTAAAAAGATTCTCAAATCCAAAATTGTGAGAAAGGTTCTTAGGTCTTTGCCTGAGAAATTTAGACCTAGGTTTACAGTTATCGAAGAAATAAGGATCTGGACACGGTTAAGATAGAAGAACTCGTAAGGTCCCTTCAAACCTATGAACTCACCATTTCAAAATCTAAGAAAAAAGTCCATAGCGTTGAACACAGTTAAAAAAGAAGAGTCTGAGTCATCTGACTTAGAAATCCTTAGAAATGAGGAAATAGCCTACTTTGTGAAGAAATTCTAGAAAGCATTAAAGAGCAAGAGATGGCCTCAAGAGAGAAAGAAATGAGCCCCTAGTAAATTTTAGAAAGATAGTAGTGATAAACCGACTGCTAGGAACTCTAGTAAAAAATCTCAGGTAGTTAGATGCCATGAATGTCAGGGGTTTGGTCATTATAGGAATGAATGCCTTAGTTTTAAGAAAAATTTGAAAAAGGGGAAGAGTAAGGCATTAGCTGTGTCATTGAATGATGATGAAACGAACTCGAGTGATCAAGGTGAATCCTCTAGCAGCAAAGATGAAAAAGGATATGTAGCTTTTGTGTCTACAGTTAAGAGTGAGTCTGATAAGGAGGGTGGTAAGGTTGAAGAAGAGGTACACAGTGAGAACTCTAGTGACGATACTGAGGATGAGACTGATATATAAGAGGCTGATCAACTTCTATTTAACGAAATTTTTAAAATCAAGAAAGGAAAATAAAGCCCTATTCAAGAAGGTAAACAAACTTGAGAGAGAGAAAGAGAGGCTCATGAGTGATCTTCGGGTCTCTTCTAAAAGCCTTAGTGAATTGAACTGTGTCAATGAAAAGCTAGAGGACCAGGTTAAAATACCGACTTACTTGTGAGTTAGAGAAATCTAATACTCAACTGTAGTTTTTTATGAGTGGGACTAAGAAACTGGACAACTTGTTAGGAATGAACAAACCAGCTGGGTGTAAGATTTGTGAAAAGTGATAGCAATATGATCAGTACAACTAAGATCACATTCGTGTATCCTTCCAACAAGTCTAGTAACTCAACCAGTCCTGAACCTAAAAGTAACAGTGTCACTGAATTGAATGCTACTAGAGTCCAAGTGTCACCTAAAATTCAACATCAACAATCACATGTATTTGAACCTAGGTTCATACCCACTTGCCATCACTGTGGAGCTTTAGGACACATGAGACCTAGGTGTCTTAAGCTAGCTAACAGGAATAAAAGTCAGGATATCCCGTCAGGTTAGCTTTTTTTCAAATTAGGTTAGTCACTTAACTGAGATGGTGACAAAATTGGCTAGGATCACCTCGACCTCTAGAAAAATTTGGAGCAAGAAATCTGATATGGCTAGGCATGGTGAGAATCTGAATTGCTTTGTAGCTCATGTTGCATATAAGGCTCAAAATACATATATGTGGTATCTTGATAGTACTTGATCTAGACACGTGTGGAAATAAGGCCTTGATTTCTATCCTTGATGATTACAATGGTGGTGTAATTACCTTTGGAGACAAGGCTACGGCACCTATCCATGGTAAAGGTACCATCAACATATCTGGACTTCCTACAATATCTAATGTGCTTTGTGTAGAGGGTCTAAAGTCCGATTTGTTGAGCATTAGCCAAAATTATGATGCTGATTATGAAGTGAGTTTTGCTTAAAAAAGGTGTACTATTTATGACTCTTTAGGTGGTGTTGTCCTCGAAGGTGTTAGAACTTCCGATAATTGTTATGAAGTTCTTCCAAACTCTAACTGTGTACAGTAGTGCTAAAATTGACATGACTAAACTTTGGCATCTAAGACTCGATCATGTTAAGTATAAAAGTTTGTCAAAATTGGTCAAAAAGAAAATTGTTGATGGCTTGCCTAAAATTGAATGAAATGAAAATGTTGTGTGTAAACCTTGTCAACAAGGAAACGAGTTAGGATAAACCAAAAACAAACCTCTAAAATTGACAAACAGACTTCTAGAACTTCTCCATATGGATTTAGTGGGAACATCTAGGACTGAAAGGCTAGGAGGTAAACGTTATATTCTTGTTTTGGTAGATGACTTCTCTAGATACACATGGATTGAACTATTAAGAGAAAAATCTGAAACATGTGTTCTGGTTAAATCCCTATGTACAAGACTTAGAATTGAACAAAATATTTCCATTTCTAGGGTTCGAAGTGATCATGGAAAGGAGTTTGAAAACTCTAATCTTGAACACTTTTGCTTGGAGGAAGGATTCAGCATGAGTTTTCCTCACCGATCACTCCATAGCAAAATAGAGTTGTTGAGAGGAAAAATAGAGCACTTCAGGAAATGGCTAGGGCCATACTTCATGGCAATGATCTAGCAATGCATTTCTGTGATGAAACTATTAACACTGCTTGCCATATAGTAAACATAGTATACTTGCGATCGAAAATCGATAAGACTCCTTACGAGATCTGGAAGGGCAAGAAGCCTACTGTCAAATACTTAAATGTGTTTGGCTGCAAGTGCTACATTCTAAGGGATAGAGAAATCTTAGGCAAGTTTGATTTCAATAGTGATGAACGGGTTTTTCAATGATATTCTAAAAATAGTAGAGCTTATCGTATATAAAAGTTGCGTACTCGGAGTGTCATGAAGTTTATAAATGTTGTTGTTGATGATGCTTTCACTGAAGGGGAGAGTGTTGAAAATGGGGTATATTTAGATGATCTAAGTGATGATCAAGAAACCACAACTTAGAATAAAGAACAATCAATTCCAAAATCTCCGCGCCCCCTAAAGGTATAGATATCTCTAATAAGGATCTACCACCTAGTGAACAAACTAAGCTTCCTAGAAAACCATCATCCAGGGTCAAATCTAACCATCCTAAGGTCAAGATAATTGGAGATCTAGATGAAGCTATGAGGTTACGAAAGAGAGTTTTGAATAACCTAACATATACAAGTTATGTATCCCAAATTGAGCCTAAGAAAGTAGAAGAAGCCCTTAGAGATGAATGTTGGGTGAATGCAATGCATGATGAACTTAATCGATTTGTTCGAAACAATGTTTGGTATCTAGTGCCTAAGTTTGATGATTGCAATGTGATAGGTACTAAGTGGATTTTCAAGAACAGGACCGATGACTAGGGTACCATAACATGAAATAAGGCTAGGCTAGTTGCCCAGGGATACACTCAAGTTGAAGGGGTAGATTTTGATGAGACATTTGTCCCTGCTGCACATCTGGAGTCCATCTGCATCCTTCTTATAGTTGCTTGTACTTTAGGATTCAAGCTATATCAAATGGATGTCAAGAATACTTTCTTGAAGGGAATATTTCAAGAAGAAACATATGATTAACAACCCAAAAGATTTATCGACCTTAAGTTTCTTCATTATATCTACAAATTGAATAAAGCCTTGTATGGCCTGAAATAAGCTCCTAGAGTTTGGTATAACAGACTCATTGCATATCTCGTTGACCATGAGTTTTCACGAGGTGGTGTGACAGAACTCTATTCGTTAGGCATATTGAAGAAACTATAACTATAGCACATATCTACGTTGATTACATTGTGTTTGGCTCTCCCATTAACTCTCTTACTTATGAATTTGCCAAATGTATGAACGAGAATTTGAGATGAGTATGGCTGGAGAGCTAAGTTACTTCATTAGCCTTCAAGTGAAGCAAACTAACTATGGGTTGTTTATTTCTCAATCAAAATATGCCAAAGACCTAATAAAAAGATTTGTTCTGGACAGTAAAAAATACACAAGGACACCCATGAGCACGGTTTTTAAGTTAGGTCATGATCCTACAGGTACGAGTGTTGATCAAACATTGTATATGAGTATGACAGGCAGCTTACTCTAGCTTACAGCCAGTAGACTTGACATAGCATTTAGTATTGGAGTGTGTGTGATATTTCAGGCTGATCCTAAGGAATCCCATCTAAGTGCAGTGAGGCGTATCATTAGGTATGTTAGTGGGATGGTAGATTATAGGATCTTATAGTCTAGAGAGTCTAATCTTGATCTAGTTGGCTATTCTAATATCAACTGGGCTGAAAATGCCGATGATAGAAAAAGTACCTCAGGTGGATGTTCCTATGTTGGTTCTAATCTTGTGTTATTGATGAGTAAGAAACAAAACTCAATCTCTTTGTCTACATCTAAGGTAGAATACATTGTAGCCGGTAGTTGTTGCACTCAGTTGCTTTGGATGAAGCAAATGCTAAGTGATTATGGGATAAAATAGGGTACCATAATTGTGTCTGTGACAACACCAGTGCTACCAACATCTCTAAAAATCCTGTTTAGCATTCTAGGACCAAACATATTGGCATTGGTCATCACTTCATTCGAGAGCTAGTTGAGTCCAATGTGGTATCCCTAGAACATATTTCTATTGAAAATCAACTTGCCGATCTATTCACTAAAGCTCTAGATTGTCTGAGGTTCGAGTCACTTAGAAAGGCTGTCGGCATGTGTGTTCCTCCTTGATCACCCTCACAAGTACATACATGTCTAGTTTATTTCATTAAATTATTTTTGCATTAATTGCATTGCATGTTTATTTTGATTTGCATCTGCCTACCATTTCACATTTCTTTTAAATTTCTTATATATATGTATTAAAAAAATATTAGGGGTGGTATTTCCTTATCACTATTGCATTATGATTGTTTACTTGGACTTGCAACTTGTGATCAAATATGCAATCAACACATGGTTAGCTTCTAATTCCCATTACCTCAATTGAGTTTGTGTGGAGTACTTAGTATATGTCACTTCATATTTCATCTGTACAACACACACTAGGACCTTGTG